CCTCCGCTACAATGATTCTCGGTTCTGTCTACAATGGTCGTAGTCGTAAGAATAATCGACTGCGATTGGTCAATTCTTATCGAGCGACTACGACTACGACCATTGTAGACAGAACCGAGAATCATTGTAGCGGAGGCTTAAAGGTATTTTGTGAAATTACGATCGCCGTAACGTGTCGTAAAACAGAAAATCGAAACAAACAAGAATCGAGAGCATTGATTGGCTGAAAGAGTCACGTGAACAATCCGCACTAGACGCAACGCGACGTGAAGCTTGACATTGGCAGTTTTCACGTTGCGTCAAGTTCCGATACTTCACGTCACGTCGATCGTAATCAGCCGCGTATAAAAACAATGTGTTTAGGTTTTACGTTACGTAACGTGCCGCCGCGTCCCGTTACATTAAGTTCATCGTAATCCCGGCTTTGAACGGCAAGTCAGCCTACCTTAATACCAACTTCCGTGGTAGGTGGGTGTATCGTCGTTTCGCCGAGATAAACCACGCTCTTCTCGAACTCGTCTATGAACTCTGCCGTTATCGTCCCCTCGTATTCCCCGAATTGCTTGAAGATCTCCAGGACGTTACCCTCGGAAACGATGGCGACGCGCGCTATCTTCTGACAGTTCAACACCTCGATAGTCAGCACGCACGGCTCCGCATTAGAATCCACCGGTTGCAGAGCGACGCAGGTGTCCAGAGAGACTACGGTTTCGCAGCTTACCCTGCGCAAACATTCACATTATACAGAGTGTTCCGGAGAGCTCGACAACCCCTTCGCTAACGAATTCTAGAATATTCGAAGACGAAAGTCCTCGTGTAAAGATGTCCAGGTTCTGGTAATTGTTAAACGAAAAGCACTTATAGTTAACTAATTACACATCGATTCAGTTTCTAGAAATCGGCATAATTCTGAATTTGACAAAGAAATTACTTTGAAAAGCGGTACCTTTACTACATTAGCTCATATTAGTCTCATATTAGCAGCCTATCTCATAACAGGAGACTCCTTTATAAGCGTAGGTACAAATAGGCGCAAACTGGGGAAGGCGATAACACTAGTTACAGCAAGTAAGGTAAGACCAGGGTTGGGAAAGTTACTTTATAAAAGTAACTAGTTACAGTTACAGTTTTTTCGCTAACAATGTAACTAGTTACAGTTACAAGTTACCAATTCCGAAAAGTAACGCGTTACAGTTACGGTTACTCGAAAAGTAACGAATCGTTACTTTGCAGTTACTCCCTTGCAATAAAAATAATAATATCGAATCTGCATTTGAATTGTAAAACGGCGATAAAGGCGTTTATGTGCAAATGGATCAAGGCCTAATGCGATCTGTGGAGGTTGAAAAAATATATAAAGTAACTCTTAATGTAACTATTAAATTAGTTACTAGTTATCGAAAAAATGTAACTGAGTTAAGTTACAGTTACAGATGTAGAGAAAGTAACGAAGTTAAGTTAGAGTTACCAAAAAGAAGTAACTGTAACTGTAACTTCGTTACAAGTAACGAGTTACTTCCCAACCCTGGGTAAGACATGTATGCTGACGTAGCGTATAATAGAGGAATGATGCAAGAGTGCAAGTATGAGTGAGCTAAGAACATTTTGTAAATCAGTCCGCTTCTTGGCTGGAAGCTGAAGTCAAATGAATTGATACGGATCGATTGAACTAGCGCTTCTCATTTCAAAGCTGCGGCAGCCTCGACATTTTTTTACACAGGAGAGGACGTTCGCCTCGGAATATTCTACAGAATCTGTCAGCGAAAGGGTTGTCGCGCCTTCCGTGACGCGCACGTAGATCTCACTTGAGCGCCTCGAGAATCGTGTCGCTTGCTCACCGTTCGGGCGCGTACTTGATCGACGCGGTGGTGACGGCGTCGATGAGCTGCTTGTTGTTGCTGACCTGCCAGTTGCAAGAGATCGACAGGGGACTGTCGCGGCGCTCGTCATTGGAGAGCGAGGGGGGCGGAAATAATGAACGCGGCCCGCTGCTGCTCTCGGCGTTTATTATTTCCATGACTGCGAGGCAGGCCGGGGTCTGACGGACGGGCAAACGGGGATATCGCGACTACGCCTCGCCGTGTCCCGCGGGTCCGTGCGCGGCCGTTCTTTACTTTGTCTAGCTGCCAGAATCAGAATCCGATTAGTTAAATTGAATCGACGTTAGAATTAATCTGCACAAAATGAACAGAACTTGTGATTAGTAAACTTTCCTAACAGCAAAAAGTCGACGAATGTAAAAAGAAACGCCGGCGTGGCCGCTTTCAGGTTTCTCTCTGGTCCTAACCTAATTTGTGAACCTAACCCTAACCTAATCTGTGAACGCCGATTTCTCATTCGATTATGAAATATATATGCGCAAAATTTTGAAAATTATGTCAAACGTATGTTATATAACTGTTGTTGATATGTTTCGAATGCTAATATTGTAGAAATATATAAGGATACCTCGGAGGCCGCGGAATGCGATCACGTCGACAAAACTTACACCTATTTATCTAGAGGGAAGAGCTCCTCGGCGCTATGGGAAATGACGTATACAACATGGCGTATAGAGACACGTCCATTAAGCCTATCACACAATGCCTGTGTCCAGCAGAAGTTAGCGCTTGCTAAGCGCTTTGCGTTCATTGCCTGTGTCCAGCAGAAGTTTGCGCTTGCTAAGCGCTTTGCGTTCATTGGATTATACTTTCAGATCTGTGCTGAAATAGAGCTATTCTTCTAGATCTATCCAATCAGCATAAAGCGCTTATTCTTAGCTAACTTCGGCAGAACACAGCCATTGGATTATACTTTCAGATCTGTGCTGAAATAGAGCTATTCTTCTAGATCTATCCAATCAGCATAAAGCGCTTATTAAGCGCTAACTTCTGGAGAACACATTACACAGCCACTGCCAGGCAACAGGCAACAGCAACAGGAACAGGGAATAGAATTTCTGACGCGTTGGATTGGTTGGTAGAAAATTTCCGACGAATCCAACGCGTCAGAAATTCTATTCCCTGTTCCTGTTGCCTGGCATTGTGTGATGGGCTTATATCTTCTTCTCCCCACATTAGAAGAAAAGACAGATAAGCTCTGAATAAGTGCAGTCAATTCAACAAAAAAAACAGATCTCGTGTATATGCACGAACGCCAAAAGGAGACAGAGCGAGAAAGCAGAGTGCAGAAGGTGCAGACGGAGCGAGAGCAGATTCAAGGACCTCTCCTCTCTCTCTCTCTCTCTCTCTCTCTGCGTTCGTCTCATGTTCGTGAAGGTGAATTCAAGGGTGGTGGAGATAAAGAAAGGAAAAGAGAGAGAGAGAGAGAGAAAGAGAGAGAGAGAGACGGAACTGAACAGCTGAGCGGGAGTATCGAGTATCGAGCTGAATTGCACCTGAGTGTGTGCATCGTGCGCTTCACTCGTGAATCTCCCGGCCTCGCGATCTCACGGAGAACATGTCGAAATACAGGATCGTGATGGTTCGCCATGGCGAGAGCGAATGGAACAAATTGAACCTATTCTGTGGCTGGTACGATGCCGATCTGTCGGACAAGGGTGCGTAAACCCGCCGCCTCTTCAAGGGCGAAAGGTCGCGCGCGATCGCACGCGAATCTCTTCCGGGTGACATGTCGACATTTCACAAAAAAAATAAGTCGAACTTTCAGCCGTTCACTCGTTACAGACACTTCGATTCCAATAAATTTGTATTACGCCTATTTGCGTGTTAAAACTTGACACTTAACATTTTACTGTTGAACTGTAAAAGCTCAACGATTGACACGCGTCGAACACGGTTAATGTTGGATCGAAGACCGTATTGATCCTTTGCGATTCAAGTTATTTCACGCAAATTAGTATCTATTTAATTACGAATAGGGTTTTTATTATTTCTGTAATGCATTTATAGAACTCGTAAACGTGCAATTAGCCGATCAAACTGCGCACCGATTCGAATGCTCGAAGAACTACACGTTCCCGCAACGCGCGGTATCCAGTCCAGTTTGGGACTGCGATTCAAAATGATTTCAAAGATTATATCGGGATCTCCTTGCAGGCAAGAGCGAGGCCCTGTCCGCTGGGAAGGCCCTGAAGGACGCGGGCTATACATTCGACGTCGCACACACGTCGGTGCTGACGAGGGCGCAGGAGACGCTCAAGTCGATCCTGAAGGAGATCGGCCAGGAGGACCTGCAGGTTCATAAGACGTGGCGGTTGAACGAGCGACACTACGGCGGCCTCACCGGCATGAACAAGGCGGAGACCGCCGCGAAATACGGGGAGGAGCAGGTGCAGGTCTGGCGGAGGTCGTTCGACGTGCCGCCGCCGCCGATGGAGCCCGATCACAAGTACTACGACACGATCGTGAAGGATCCGCGTTACGCCGACGGGCCGAAGCCCGAGGAGTTCCCCAAGTTCGAGTCTCTCAAGTTGACCATCGAGAGAACGTTACCTTACTGGAACGAGACGATTATCCCGCAGCTGAAGGAGGGCAAGAGGATCATCGTAGCCGCCCACGGCAACAGCTTACGCGGCATAGTGAAGCACTTGGATCGTAAGGCGCTCTGCTGAATTGAATCTATTCGTCATCTACTTTCCGTACAGCACGCGTGTCTAAAGGCCTGTGTCCACGATGCTAGAACTTGGTCCAAGTTCTAG